ATGAGTCGGGGCCGACTCGACGGCACATAACAACAACAACAACAACATGCTTTGAAAAGGAATTTAAGAAATTTGAGGAATACTTTAAGAGACTATCGAGAACAACTTCTAGGTAAGTTAGAATGTAAGCTCCTAAAGAGCAGAAGCCATGTGTTGTTCATTATGTTCCCTCATCTAACGTACAACAGGTGCTTCATTTTCTGTACATATAAAAGGACATCCGTCCCCAAGTCACCCACTTCTTGACACTTAAAACGATACCAGCATGTCCCATGTAACAGATTAACAGCCTCCCAACTGGTCTTTCTGCTTCTACCTTTGCCTTCCTAGTCTTTTTTCAACACACAGCCAGACTGTCCGCTCAGAACCACAAGATGGTGTCCCCTTGTCAATCGGAGCAAGGTCCAAGTCTTCACGATGGTCCATGAGGCTTTTCATGGTCTCCACACTCCATCATTACCTCTCTGAACTCTTAATATTCTTGCCTCACTTATTCCACTACATTCTCCCATTCCTCAGGAGTCTTGCTGTTCCTCAAACATGCCAAGTACAATCCCACTTTTAGGCCTCTGTGCCCGCTGTGCCCTCTGCTTGGAAAGCTCTGCCCCAAGTCATCCACATGGCTCTATCACCTACTTCAAAACTGTGCTCAAATGTCACCTTTCTGATGAATCCTATGACCAGTCTATTTAAAATCACCAAACTTACTCTCTCGTTTTTCCCTACAATTTTATCACACTTTTAGCATTTTATATAATTTAGTGATTATTATTTGTCTCAACAGACTGGTGTATCCTAAGTGCTTAGAACAATGTCTACCATGTAAATACTTCCATAAAATTTCACATTTCTCACACATTATAGTTACGTGTGTGTGTATGTTGGTAACATCCTTTGAGATGGAAATTTTTCACTTGGTTTCTAAAACAAAATTTAAGATTATAGTACTAAACCAGTGAAAAATAAATGTGCTTCAATCAGAATATAGTATGTTTAAGTACGATTATGTCAAACTTCTGTTGACTTCAATGTACTAAATTGGTGGCTAATCTATTAAAGAAAAAAAAAAATTTTTTCCACATACTTATAGGGCTTTTCCAAAAGATGAAAGAAACTCTTCCACTATATTAGAACAAACCTTAAAGCAGCTAAGTAAACAGTCACTTACTGTATTCAAAATACCCTTTCCATTTATCCTTCAACGTACCTAATTAGTATTTACCGTTGTTTTAAACAAAAGGTTTTTAAATGATAAAATGGATATACAGTACTATTTCCTATAGTCTTTGCAATCTCTCCCCAGATCATACTCTGAACAAATATACCACTGCAACATCCAACCTGATGGCTTTAATATTCAAATAGGAAATCCAATTTTACCATAGAAAGTTGTAGCAACATAAACATGGAAAATTCTGCACTTCTCCCAAGCGTCATCATTAGGTAAAAATTCATTTAGGCAAAATAGTATTTATGCTTCCATTTTATTGTTTTTAAGAGTTAAACTGCCACCTCAGTAGTCTTAAGAGCAATATAATGAAACATACATACATTGTATTTAGACTTATGTCCATCATAGCTTCAAAGGCTTCCCTGAAATAAGGCCGGGATTCACATCTTTTTCCTTAAGGAAACAAATACTAACAGTAATTTTGTTATCCTTCTACCCACCCACCCTCATTCAAACAAAAACTGGATGAATTCAAGTCTAATACCATTTAAAACTTTTGTCCACTACAACACATTCATCTGATATGCCTCCCTGCATGACATATATTTCTTAAGTCTAACGGAAAATAAATCTTTTATTTATTTTTTATTTTTTTTTAAAAAAAAGCCCAGTTCTCTTAAAAGGTGGAATTTTATCTTGACACTGATTTTTCCTGTCCAATACATGGGCTGGCAAAGGGGTTTCACACCCCATTCAACCCTAGCAAATTTCAATAAAAACAGGAGAGCTCTTCACAGTTGAGAGGCTCCTGAGTGAATCTGGGTATTACCTTATTACATGAAACAAAGAATGGTCTTAGATTTTCAAAAGTACTATTTTAACAGCTCCTAAACGGGGCATGAAAGGGAATCAAGTTTGCACCAGTCCAAGTACCTACAGTAATAGGACAGAAGCATTCACCACCAACATCACACTATCTCACTCCCATGCTTCTAATAAGAATTTCTCACTAGAAATACTGCATTAACATTGGACTCTCAAATTGCTAGGTGTGAAAAACCACTTTATTTATTTTTTAAGTGTATTAGCTATTTTTGGCTGGTCGAAGGTTGAAATGACCACTGATATTATTCCTAACTTCAGCTCTAAGCTCAGAGATGCCTTTGCATCTGATCCTCCAAGATGGGAATCTGTTTTGCCTGTACCTGACAGAATAAAATGGTAAATTAGCAATCAGTTGATCCTTTGCCAAAAAGAGTATGTTCTAAATTTATACACTACAAACTATCTAATAAATGAAATCTGCATACTACACATTTCATGTTTATATTATGCACCATTTTAAGGGGGAGAAAAACCTTCACAGGGGTTTATTCAAAGGATATCTAACAATATCCTGAGAATATCAATTTATAAATATGAGTTCTGTATAAACCATAAGTGGTTATCTTAGTTGGACTATAACAAGCCCTATAATGCAAAAGCTGACTCTAAAGGCACCTTATAAAGCACTGAAATTCACAACTTAGTCATTACTTTTCTCCAATACAAAATCCTCGGGTAGTCTTCACTGTTAATATCATGCTAAAATCTTCCAAGTTTAGACTGAGCCAATAAAAGGAATAAGTAATTAATAGTTTTTAAACTTCAAGTTAGAAGAAAAACCCTTATCATACAGTAATGAGACCTGAGCAAATGCAAGTTTGTGATTACAAGAATGTTTTTCATTAATACATTATCCAATTCCTCCATGGCACTCAAATGGCAGCTTAAACCCAATAAATAAGAAACCATTTAAGCATTAAGACCAAACTCCATGAAACGAGGAATTACATCAAGCCTGTCTAGCCTTACATATTTAGTTTATGACAATGAGCAAAGTGGCATACACTTCGTCTACATGATACCATTTCAACAGTCACAATGTTACTTAAGATTTGTTAAGTGTGGTGCACTATGTGATTCCAACCATTCAGTAAAAAAGCCTGGAGAGTCAACAACCCTTCCAGCTTGGAGCCTATAGAATCAGTTACTTTTGCCATATCCTTCCAAATAATTAGTAATGCCTGTTAACATTACAAACATAAATTTATCTTAGTACTAAAATTCCAATGCATTCTGGTGCTCGTGAGGCTGCCTAAAAGGAAAAGGCATCCAAGTGAAGTGCATTATGTACTTACTATACCTCAAAATTTCAGTGCCTACAATGTGAAATAACTTTCTGCCATTTAACTGTCTGTCTTACAGCAAATTCTAATAGATTTTTACTTTGAGAATTTTATTGTAACTTTGGGAAATTAGTGGTAAAACATATGGTTTTAAAAAACAGTATGTGGCTGCACTTAAATTCACATAAAAATAGCATTTTTACAACCATATCGAAATTTAATCCGTTTACACAGGTTAACAAGATGTATCACAAGAAAACCTAAAGATTGGGTTTAACGAAAGTAATTACTTTTGTAAGTGGAACAATGAAAATTTTTTTCAGGAAATAATATTACAAATGGTCACCTCTGGGTTGATTTACCACACTAGAACAAAGTTGTTAAAACATAGCTGTGCTCAACTGAGCCACTTATCTGCGCTACGTATAGTACTTGAAATCAGTCCTAAGGTCAAGGTTTAAAACCATTTTAAGAGACAAGACCCTCAAGTGTTTTATAGCCCCCTCTGTAAGAGGTGCTTTTCCTTCCCCAAACAGTCAAAGCTTAATTAAAAGGTTGACTATGTATAAGTTTTTTCCTTATCATATCTTCAGTTCAAAATACTATTATCATTGGTAATAAGGTCTGTATCTTGTCTGATCTGGATGATGTGGTCCAGGAAGTGGGGTTTGAGAAGGCGGACCCTGCATTCGTGGAGGAGGTGGTGGCCCTCTTGGTGCAGGCCATATGCCAGGACTCATTCCTCCTGGTTGTGTAAATGGAGGGCTCAGAGTTCCTTGATCTTCAGTGAACTGGGGTAAAGAGTTAGGATTATAGTGGTGAGGAGGGGGTGCACTTACAGGTGGACCACCATGTTGAGGTGGGGGAGGTCCTGGAGGAGGATGATTCATATAAGGTGGCATCTGGGCAATAATATGTCCAGGGGGAGGGGTTATTGGAGGTGGAGCAGAGGTCATTGGTGGAGGTGGAGCTTGGCTATAAACCAAGTGAGGAGTACCTGCAGCCTGGGGAGGATGTGGCATTGGATGGCTTATTGGTGGTGGAGGAGGTGGGGGTGGTGCATAATGTTGCTGTGGAGGCATAATATGGTGAGGGTGCGATACCACTGGCTGACCCTGATATTCAGGATGATGGTGAGCAGGTGCTGGGGCAGGAGGTGGTGGTTCTCTAGCACCTGAATTTGAGTCATCCTGAATAGGGACAGTTATTAAATTGCTGTGTTTTCTTGTTGAAATACGAAAGGTTTCCTGACTGACCGAACGAGGAGGAGGTGGAGCCATGGACAATTCTGCTGGAGGAGCACGGATATCCTCGTGTGGCTGATTATAGTGCTCATGCGGCACGTGCTGCAAAGGAGGTGGTGGCATCATGATGTGCTGCTTTGGCGGAATGTGGCTCATATGATGCTTGTCTGGCGGCATTATAAAGCGATCAGGGATTTCAGTTGGTGGCGGGGCAATAGGAGGATGAACGTTTTCAAGTGAAGCACGAGTAACAGGTTTTCCAGCTCTCATGTGGCGATGGTTGATATGAGCCTGTAAGTCTCTCTGAGACAAATATGTTCTCTTGCACCCTTGAACAATGCTACACATGAAGAGAGAACCTCGTGTACACTGCTCAATTCGCTGCACAGGGTCACTACAGCTAAATTAGAAGGGGAAAAAAATGAATTTACTAACAACAGAATATAAAAATAATGCACTTCATTTCAGACATACACCTATTTTTAAAATTTGATTGCTGTGTAATATACAGGAGAAGTTCACAATTGAAAATTACAGTTATCATAAATGAATCTTTAATCTTCCCAACTTTGTCACCGACTAGCTGTTAAACATCAGCGTTTCTATCAACCTCATAACTTTTAATACAATAATTAATGAAAACTATTTATCAACCAGGGTACATTTTAAGACCTCATTCTTCCCAAGACCTAAAATTTACCTAATTTTCTCAAACAGTTCTATGCTTTGCCTTCATTTGCATAACACCCAAAAAGGACAAATCAGGAGATCTGCCACTTCTAATTATAAAATTCAAACCTGTAGTTTTTAATGAACAGTATTTGTTGAGCAAACACTACTAAGCGGAAAACACTACATGGAAGGCACTATAAGACATACAAAGATAAGTAAGATCTATTAATCTCAGTAATTTAAATTTAAACCTTGACTACTAAGAGTCCCTTAGAATTCAGTATGCAAAAGTTTTCACCCTCCCACCTTTCTTTTTAATGACTCAAGATCAAAATTATATCTATTTTTCACTTCACTATATTTAACATACTCTTGGCCTTCAGAGTCAGCTTGGCATAGTGGCAAAAGGATCAAACTAGGAACCAGGAGAGCAGAGGGCTTATATAGGTTCTATGATCTTGGAGAGGTGATTCAATCTCTCTGAGTTTGCATCTTCATCTGTAACATGAAGTTAAAAAGTCTACTCTACCTAACTCACAATATGTTTGCACTCTCTCTCCTTACTTAAAAGAGTATCCTTAAGATCAAACAAAAGTAACAATATATAATCACCTATAAAGTACTGTATTATAATATTATTATCATGTGATATGTTAAGCTATTCAAAACAATATTAAATGGCTCTATACTCTTGATTTTGAGTTGCGTGTCTATTTTTCCATCCTTGTTACTATAAGGCTGACACTTCTTGTTGACTTCTTTTAGCAGCCATTTGGTACACTTAGTTTTTGCTTCTAACTTGCTTCATTAAGCTCAGAAATATGGTTGTGTTAACAGGATGGGATATATTTTCTTTTGGTTATGCTTAAAAGCTACAGTATATGATATTTAACATCAACACTGCCATGGCTGCCATGTGGATTTTTTTCTTTCGTTTTCTGATTTGGAGCTGTTAATCCAGACAGACTAATGTTCTAAGAAAGATAAGAGCCATATAAGCAAGCACTTACTGGAGTTAACATTTAATGCCTTGAAAATGAAATTGCCTTATAAATATCTTTAGAACATTATGTGAAAGAGCAAAACCTTTCAATGCCCTCTACATAGCATTTTATCACATCTGAAATCCTTTCTCAATGAAGCAATCAAGTTTACTATATAATTTAAGGTTAATATTAATGTGTTAGGAAAGTAAGGAGCTCTGGTGACACAACAGGAGTCCTGGTGGCACAGTGTTAAAGGGCTTGGCTGCTAACCCAAAGGTTGGCAGTTTGAACCCACCAGTCGCTCTGAGGAAGAAAGATGTGGCAGTCTACTTCCATAAAGATTATAGCCTTGGAAACCCTATGGAGCAGTTCTATTTTATAGGGTCACCATGAGTCAGAACTGACCTGATGGCAACAGTATATACTTATCATCTTTTATTTAATCTTAATGATAACCTTGGGAGGTAGGTATTATAATTACCCCATTTTATAGATGAAGAAATAGCCTATGTCACACAGATAATAAAAAGAGGAAGGCTCTTAATCCAGGAATTCTGATCCCAGAGTTTTTACTCTTAATCACTATGCCATACTACCCTTCTAGTGTACTGTCAAAAGAGAAAATAACTGGTTTTGGTTGATAACACTACGATGACAAATAGATTTCATTTTGTCCAATCTGAAGCAACTGGTAGTGGCTACCCTAGCTCTATCCTTAGAAAAATGTTACAGCCAACTCTGGACACACATTTGACACCTGTCTCTAGTTTATGTCATACCCTGGGCTTTAACTCAGAGTACAAATCATCATTACAGCACAAACTTTATTATTTAAAAATGTCATGGTGATCTTACCCTGGACACATCTTATCTCCCTTTTTTTCATGTAAAATAGCACAGTCATAGCAAAAAACATGTTTGCATGGGATCTGTGAACAGAGACATATTTAATTAATCATATGAGAACTTTAAATTTTTTCCTAAAAAATAACAGCAAGCAAAGTTACCTAAAATAGAAGGCCCTTGAGGATTTATAAATGAACATTTATTACAAATAAATGAAATAAATGAACTAAGTACCAATAATACAAAAGCAATGATTAACCCTTTTTAGTCACCAAGACCTTTGATAATCTAATGAAAAGCTCTGGCCCTTTTTCCAAGAATGTTATACATGCACATTTGCTGACTATTTCTAGAGGTGTAATCCCTAAAATTTTCAACAGTGGTCTTCACAGGTTAAAAGCTCCTGATGAAGAAGAGTACCATAACTGTGTTTTATGTTACTTTGTTTCTCTTGAAACTATTCCAAAGCAGTAAAGTAGCAAATATCGCCTACATTTAAGTAGCAGTTTTCCCTGGTATCCTTAAGCTAATGAACTCAAAATATCTGAAACTAAATCAAAAGGACACAACAAAATGTTAAAATAACACTGTTAATATTATAATCTAATAGTTATTTTGCTATGATATACAGAAAAAAAAAATAATGCATAACCCACACTCTCTACTATCACAGATATTACTGAATTCATATTTTTTTCCAAACATAAACATTTTCTTGAGAAAGAGTATGTCAAAATTACTGTAAAATTACAATTAAACAAAATATTTTTGTTATATATTTTATGAGATTATAATTTTCAGAAACTATACATATTATTTATTCAGTTTTTTATGTCAAAAGTTATATATACCTTTCAGAAATTAACAACTAATTTCATTCTGTTAAGGCAAGAAAAAAAATTTTTCCCCTAATAAACTAGAAGTAAGAAACGTAAACTAAAAGGTATCAAAGAGGCCAAGGAAATTATTTAGTTTTCAGAAGGTAGTGTTCTTATTATTTTACAAGCAATTCAAGAATTTACCAAGATAAGAATAAAGAGAGAGCAAGAAATCAGGTAAAGAAAAAAAAAAGATTTATCAAGATAATTGTACAAAATTTATATTATCCCAGAATTTCCCTTGCTATTTCATATGTAAACTGTCATAAATTGAAAGTCACTGAACAGTGATAATGGAGCCCTGATGGCATAACATAAAGGCTGGCGATTCAAACCCAACCAGCAGCTCCAAAGACCTGGTAATCTGCTGCCACAAAGATTACAGCCAACAAAATTCTATTGGGCAGTTCTACTCTGTCACATGGGGTCACCATGAGTTGGAATCAACTCACTGGCACCCAAAAAGAACAATGAAACAATGATAACCTAATGTATTTAAATTCCACAATCCCACCTCTATGCAAATGCTTATGCTTACAAAAACAGAATTTAACTGAGTTATACTTACCATTCGCCCATAGATTTTAATAGGTAATCCACACTTGTCACAGAAATGAACTGGTGTATCATCCTTTTCACCCAAGATGTTTATCTGTTGAAATGAATAATTAAAACTTCCTTTTAATGCAATTCTCAATTTTATAATTATAATATACGCAATGAATTGGCTAGTATTTTATAAAAGTTAAAACAATTAGAAATAAGGTTTTCTTGGTATAATCCCTCTAATATTCTCCACCATCAGCTATGTAGTCATTAGTTACGTTTTCTGTTGTTTTTCTAAACACTACTTTTAGTAGTGTTACTGGTTGCTGATTTTATTTGACTTTACTGTAAATTACCTCAAATTATTCTTGAAAATAGTGGAAACACAGCATTAATAAGCAAATGATTTGCATGTGCTCAAAGTCATAGCTGTAACAAAAGTTCATACCATACATTCATTATGTATTCTGCAATGTTCTAATAAAATATTTTAAATTTCATTTATAGCTATACCTGAAAGTCCCAAAAAAGATGTCCAGGAAATCTTCGCTGATTTCCAAAATGTTCACCCCCTTTACAGTCATACCGTTCTTCTTCATTATAATCAAATCCTTCTGAGAAAACAAAGTGTTACACATTAACTTTCCAAATCTCAAATTTCAAATTTCATTATGGAGGTACATATCTGCTTATTGAAAAGTCCCTATCATTCTTTTCAAAGCTCTTCTAAGAACAAGCTAATCTTGATTTTAATAATAATAATAAGCTTGACTAATTTAAAAAATATCAACTAGAGTGATCTTGGTGATCCAGCAAGTGCAAAATCTCTTACTTCAGAACTGAGAATTTTGCACTATGGAGGCTTGTAATAACTAAACACATACAAGTTAGTGGCAGAGCCATGAAGAATTCTGACCAAAGGCTCTTAGCAATTCACCAGGATTGTCTCTAGTACAAAACTTTACTGTATACCATCTGTGGTAGTTATGTTTGTGTGTCAACTTGGCTGTGGCTGGGCAGCTAGTGGTAGTTATTCCCCATGATGAGATTGGCAATCAACTCCATGGTGGGATCTACCACAGCAGCTGAAAAGCTGCCTTTGGGATGTGGTCTGCTTCCTGTATATAAGGAGAAGCCTTGGGAACGGTCTCTAGCCTATGGCACACTTGGGCCCTGCATGTAGCCGTGTCGTTGCACAGCAGCCTGCTATGCTCTGCCAACCTTGGGACTTAAGCTAATGGCCTGCTGTGTGGTTTGGTAACATTGGGACTGTGCCTTTTTACTTGTCAACCTTGGGGCTTGGCTTCTCAGCCTCAGCAGCCAGCAGCCGTCTGAGTGAAGAAATGCCTCTAGCTCCAGTGGGCCGGGAGCAGGAGGCAGAGAGCTGATCCCCAAGGTTGAGGGGCTTTCCCCTAGCCCCTAGCGCCCGGCACTTTGAACACGGACTTCAGGCCTCCAAATTCTAAGAATAAACTCCTGTTTGTTAAGGCCATCCCATTTGCAGTATACTCCTGTCAGAGCGGCACTAGGTAACCAGAACACCATCATGCTTGGTACACAAATTTTTAGGACATTGATCACCATTTATTCTAATCAATTTATAAAAGTGGCATCACACTGCAAGAGAGTTATTTAACTGCAAAAAGAATATAATGAAAATGTAAAGAATTCTACAGATTCTTTTTATGACTGATCAAATTAGGTGTCCTCTTCTTCAGCCCCAAACTGAGCTCGATTTTAGAAACATTAATATAGACCTATTTCATTCTTTCCATTAAAATCTCTTCCTGGTTTAGCAGCCATAGACAGGAGCCATATTAGATCCACTCACTCTGCCACACTCCATACACATAAATATTAATGAACACAAGACAATATGAAGATCAAATGGGGTCAATTTCTCTGGCCCACTTAAAAAGTTCCTGGCAATCCTCTCATCTCTTACAGAAGAACAGAAAACCAGTGAACAGTCTGATTAGAATTCTAGGTAGAATCCAATTACCTAAAGTAAAGCTGAGAGGACAAATCTATCCCTCCAAGGTACCAGGATTCTCGTGACTTTTTAGCCCTAGAACCAGTAAACAGAGTGGCTAAAGCACACAGGTTTAACTTCACTTACAAGGCTAAATTACAGCACCAGTGTACAGATATACATACACACACACTACATATATAGACACACACACACACACATATACATACATACAACTCACAGTGATAGAATTAAAAAAAAATTGTGTTCCAACGCAAAAGTAACAAAGAAGAGCTATAGTAAAGACAGGGTTTTTTTTTAGTAAGTTTCTCATGGGTTTCCAGTAGGCTCTTACATGGCCTATTTGTACCATATAAAAACTTTGGTCATCTAAAGCTTAAAATAAGAAAAATCAATTTTTCAAACCCAGAAAATTACTGAGCAGATCAACAGCTAAAGAAATTAAGAACATATTATCATTTTCAGACTAGATCAACCTGCACTCCAATAATTAAACTGCATGTATTTGTATTGATACGATACTAGCATCTAAATAGAATATTCTGATCAATGTCTAGGAAAAAACTTTTTTTCTTGTTTTTCCTCCAGGGTACAGGTGAATCTAAAATATCCAAAAACTGTCCTCAGCCTCTTAACACTTTAATAGCAGTTTCCTCTAGAAAAGGTATGGGGGATCTGAGAAACGATAGGTTTCTAATGCTCTTGTTTTGTTTTTTGTTTGGATTATTGCAAAACTGTATAAACTGTGCAATTAAAAAAAAAAAAAAAAAAAGACCAGGTTTACTGGTCCGATAGAGGTTGGTGAGAACTCCTGAGACTACAACCCCTAGTTACCCTTCAGATCTGGACCTGAATTCACTCCTGTGGTTTCCAGTCAAACAACAGACAAGCATATGAGGTGAACATCCTTAGAACAATCAATCATGGAGAACAGAAGGGCAGTATTTGCAAAGGAAGATAACTCAGGGGGCAGGTATGTATAGAAAGAAGGGCACAGGGAAGAAGTTAACTGTGAGGAAGAAGTGGGAAGAGAGCTGTTACACTGTGGGGAATTGACGTCAATGTCATGAAACAAAATGGATATGAACTGCTGTATGTAAATTAAATTTGCTCTGTAACCTTTCATCCAAACCACAATAAAAACTAAAAAAAAAAAAAAAAGGAAGGAAAAAAAACACCCAGGCAGTTGTAGTGTAGCAGTAGCCCTAGGCTGCTACTGTCCAGTTTATGACATTCTGATGCCAAATAATCTTGGTGGATGAGAAAACTTATCATAAAAGAAATCATATTATAAAGTATAATAATTAAAACAGCTTGAGTCTAAGAAAGAAAATACAGAAAGATTGCTATAAATAGAATAGAAAGTTGAGCAGTAGATACACATGCTTTTAGAAATGTAGTAAGTAACAATGGATTCCTAGTCAGTGAGGAAAAACAGACTATTCAGTGGTTGAAATAATGCTATAAAAAGGAGCAGATGCCACTTCTTTATTATTTTTTTTAATAAATACCTATCCATAAATGTTCAAAAGTAGGGGTGGGCAAACTTTTCCTGTAAAGGGCCAGATAGTATACTATAGGTTTTGTGATCATAAGATTTCTGTCCCAACTATTCAACTATGCCCTTATAGTGTGTTGTTGTTGTTGTTGTTATGTGCCGTCGAGTCAAACCCGACTCATAGCGACCCCTCCTTGGGTTTCCGAGGCAGTATCATTACGGAAGTAGGATTGCCCAACCTTCCTTCCGAGGAGTGGCTGGTGGATTTGAACCGCCAGCCGTCTGGTTAGCAGGCAAGTGTCTTAGCCACTATGCTACCAGAGCTCCCCTTATAGTGTGAGAGCACTATAATCATAGATGATACTTAAGTGAATGGGTGTGGCTGTGCTCCAATAAAACTTTATTTACAAAAACAGGACTAAATTTGGTCTACCCACCACAGTATGCCAAGTTTTGTACTAAAGTTTAAGATAGGAAAACTGTTTTATATTTTTGAGTAGGGGAAGGCTTCTTTAAGAATGTCATAAAATCTAGAAACCATAATGGAAAATAATGGGTATCTGACTACATAGAATCTTCAAACATCTCTACAATAAAATCTTACACACAAAATTCAAAAAAGAAAAGGAAACATATAAAACCAGTCACCACCAACCCCCACCCACAATGACCCCATGTGCCAGAGCAGAACTGTGCTCCACAGAATTTTTAACAGCTGATTCTTCAGAAGCACATTGCCTGACCTCTCTTCCAACGAACCTAGGAGAACACTCGAACCTCCAACCTTTCAGTTCACAGCCAAGCACATCAACCATTTGTACCACCCAGGACTTGGAGGATATATGGAAAAAAAGGCCAATTTTATTAACTTACAAAGAACTCATAAAAATGAACAAGAAAGACAAATAACAACAACAACAAAAAGACATGGGTATGAAAAGGGAGAGAGAAAAAAGAAGTGACCAATATGATGAAAATATAATACAACCACACTAATATACCTATAACAAAACAAAAAATCGAAAGCTAATAGTAGCCAATGCTGGTGTGACAATATAAACTGATAAGCCTTTTTCAAAAAGCAACTTGAAAATACCAAATAATAAAATGCATCATTATCCATCAAGTTCTAAAATGTCAAAATTAGCAAAGTCTAAATTTTAAAAATTATACATACTAAAATATATGTAAAAGGATATTTGCTTTAGCATTGCTTATAACCTCAAAAGACCCTAAAGAAATTATGTTAAATATATTATGGTACATCTATAAAATGAAATACTGTTAACTTTTTTTTTGTTGTTTAATACAGTACATTCATATGCACCAATATGGCACAATTGCATAGGGAAAAAGCAGTTACATAAAAAGTAATACTGGTGTATAAAAAAACTCTAAGAAAGATTATCTTTGGGGAGGATTATGGAGAGAGGAGGAAATTTTACTTTAATGTTATGTCTTTCTATAGAGCTGTTTTTTTGGGGGGGGGGAGGGCAGTTACTTTCAACAACAAAGAAAAGAAATTTCACCAAATTTAAAGGGAGAAAAATGTACAACATGCCAATGAGAAGTCAGACAGAAAGACTGAAGGATGAACAGAGTATCTGAGATTTAAAAAAAAAAAAAAAGGCAGCTACCAGTAACTCAGATCACATGGATTATGTGGTGAGTATGATACAACAGAAAGACTGCTGGACCTATTAGTTTAAACAAATTACCTTCATCACCAGTTGGAGCCTTAGCAGGCATCCTGTTTATAGTCCTTGGAGTTCGAGGTGCAGTTTTGGCTTTGTTCGCTTGCTTGGAGATGAGCTTTATAGGAATTCGTCTGCGAACATCAAGACCACCCAACGATCCAGAACTATTAGTGCCTTGCAATTCATTGTCTATGTTTATTAAAAAAAAAAAAAAAAAAAAAAAGTACTTTCTTTTAATTTTACATTTTGAAGAATATTCTGCCACAGGTAGAAAAAGAACATTCCTAACATTTTATTAAGAGTTGTAAATCTGCATTCTAATTTTAAATATTTTAATTATACAAATTAACTTAATTTTCCCTGTCTTGGATAACCCCCAGCCACTCCTCAGAAGGAAGGTTGGGCAATCTACTTCCGTAGTGATACTGCCTCGGAAACCCAAGGAAGGGTCTCTATGAGTTGGGTCCAACTCGACGGCACATAACAACATATTGGATAAACCCTTAAAGCAATGCTTCTTAGCCCTTTTTGAGACAGAACCCTCTAAGAAGTTGATAAAACATACAGGATCTCTCCTGAGATAGGTGAACAAGAAAATTTTCTATATAAATCAAGAGGGTATAAGATGCATCTAATCCTCATGTACCTGGATAAGAATTTCTGTCTTGAAATAACTGGAAGAGATTTTTTTTTAAAGAAAAAGAGTAAGACCAAGGAAGAGAAGAAAGAAAATTATCCCTTTCTCCTAGTACAGCCAGAATGCTCCTTAGAAGCGAGGATGGTCATACTTCATCTCACACACTTTGGACATGTCATCAGGAGGGACCAGTCCCTCGAGAAGGACATCATGCCTCGTAAAGTGGAGGGTCAGTGAAAAAGAGGAACCCTCGACCAGATGGCGTAACACAGTGGCTGCAACAATGGGCTCAAGCGTAGCATCATCGTGAGGATTGCAGAGTCGCTGAGTCAGAACCGAATAAAATGCACCTAACAAAAGTAACATCAACCTCCTTGTGTGATCGTCAAGCCTGTCAAATAGTCACTCAATAAATATGCTAAACTGAATTTACATCAGGACAATCAATACAACTGGAAGCACAAAACAAATACTGACAATGGCAAAATTAAATGAAGTTAGTTTTAAGGAAGGTAATTATTCCCTAAGTGTAAAATAGATTTTCTAAAAAAAGCATTCAACACAGTAAAAACTATTTTACCATTTAGTATTAGAAAAATGCAGTAAGTTATTTGTGCTGTAACATTTCTAGAGACACACATGTAACTAAGTTACTTTAAGACGACAAAAAGTTTTTTGTTTATGTTTCAGGCTTAAACAACTGACACTTTCTACTTCTTGAAATTCACTGCTTCTTGTTTTCGAAGAAATAAATTATTAATTCATGCCCATGGATAACAGAATTATTTCATAGAACTGACTCCATTTAAAAGCTTAAGAGCCACCTTCTTTCAAAGTATATGAAGATGTTGTAATACAGAAAATGTTCAACTCAAATATATGAAGATAATAAAGATACAACTCTACCTGCTAAAGAAAAATGCCCTAAAATAGAAAATACAATTTTTACAAACTGTAGTGTTTTAAACATGGCAAGTTATTAAGCAAGGCTGTGTAACTGCTCCTGCAGGAAACACCCCAATCAAGATTGACTGCCGGCCAGCCAGTCCAACGGAATTTAGGTAAAGCCGAATCTATAAGTAGAAAACAAGTACAATGACCTCCAAGACTACTAGAATTAGAGACATGTGAAATTCACATTAATTTGTACTTCTTCTGAACAATCCACAGAACAAAATTCAAAATGGGTCCTTACTGATTAATTTAAAATGTCTTGCCATCCACTTTTTTTTTTTCATTTTACAGCTCTTTTCCTCAATGAAATTATCTTTTTTTCCTGCTTATTTATTGTAGAATCCCATCGCATGACTTTGAGCCCCATAGGGGTTCAGGCTACCTGTCTGCTGTATTCCAGGGTCTAGAACTGGAGCTGGCTACAAGGACCAGGGTGTGTGTGTGTG